TCCTGCTGGTCTCTCCTTTTCCAACAGCGCACATAGCAGGGTGAAGTCAGAGAACTGCCTGGACAGCCTCTCTGACCAAAAAGAGCTCATCAGGTGAGGGTTTCGCTGACTCCTCCTTGGGTTAGGCTTCGGGCTGGGGGCAAGGATGGCTTTTATCTCCTGAGCAATGAGGTGAAGGGGATTCCACTGTCTCTCTGTGGTCTCCCTGTGCTACCAGTCTAGGCTTTCCCAGATGGGACCATGGCCCTATCTGGAAGGCCCCCTTTCTGATGGGATGAGAGGAGGAAATTGTGCATGGGACCAGGGCTGTCCCTAGGGGGTGCAGGGCCTGGGACAACCCCCCTCCATCCCATGCCCCACCCTCACCTTGCCTCTTCCTGCCCCTGCTCCACAGCACCCCCACTCCAGCCCTTCCCCCAGTCCCTGCTCTGTCCCTAAAAAATCCATCTCTGGGTCTGTGCCAAGCCTGATGCATGGGTCAACAGGGTTTGGGGAGTCTAGGGCATACTGCATGCACAGTCCTGCAGCGGGGTAGTGTAGACATACCCTTAGTCGTATACCTCACTGCTGAGTCTCGGTACCTTGACATAAAGTGCCATGACACACCAGATGAAGGACACGGCTCCTTGCAAAGGAAGTAGGCTTGAATTTCCCGTTGTTGTTTTCTCCCTCATCAGATCCTTGGTAGTGCATCTGTCTAGTGTGGTCCACCTGAGCAACTCAGTGCCCCAGCACAGGGGGCTTGGAAGAGACATCTCCATCCTGGGAGGGAACCAAACAGGGATTTATGTCCAGTGGGTGAAGCCAGGTTCAAAGGCTGAGAGTACAGGACTGAGAGAGGGGTGCCGGCTCCTGGAGGTGAGTCTGGAGACTGTCATGCAACATGGAACCACAGTCCATCTTAAACAGGAGACATTTATTAAACACAAGTCAGCTTTAGCTACAGCCACCACATACCTCTCTGCACTGCTTGAGTCCCAGCTTTGTCTCCCTTGTTCACCAGGAGCCACTCCCTGTCTAAGAGGTACACAGAAATGAGTGGCTGAATAATACAGTGGTAGTGAGCATATCAATACAGATCTGGAATGAGTGGCTGTAGGGCTCCTTCAAGTTGGGGCAGTGGTCTCAAGGCACTTGACAGGCTGGCTTTGACGTGCAGCTACTCTGCCTCAGTGACACCTGCCATGTTTTGTAGGAATTTATGTGGAGAAGAACTGCTCCGGTGAAAGTGCCTGGGGGTATTTATGTTGACAATATAATTACCTGATTCAGTTTTGCCCGGCCACTGGAATGAACAGCCTTGCTCTTGGAAAAACCACCCCCTTTAACAAGCACCTCCAGCAATCCGGCTCCATGCTGGGGTACTGACTAGAGCGCCTCCTCTTGAGTGCCCCATATCTGAGTGATCTCCCAGCTGAGTATTAACCACACCTGATGCTGCTTAGTTGGAGAACAGGCTGGGTGGTAGTTTACAGAAGATCAGCCTGGATGAGCTAGTGGTCCCTTCTGGCCTTAAATTTTACAGCTGTGTGAACATCAGTGCCCAAATGCCATGGGCTGTATGGGGTTATAAGGCTGGACAGTCAGAAGGGTGCCGCTGAATGAAGAGCATTGGGGAATTGTGTGCACCACCTAGGTCAGCAGCAGAGGCTGTAGAGGAAGGAGCAAGAAACTCAGTGGTAGTGTAGCCGGCTCTCAGGGACAGTTTCTCTTACCCCCAATGGCTAGAGGCTGGGTTAAGCCCTGCACCCAGAAGCTTTCAGACCCTTCCAAGCTCTCATTTGTCCCTTATCCTTCTTGAGGTGCTGAGCGGAGGGAGCTGGGACGTGGAGAAGGAAGGCCTATCTTGGTTTGGGTGGTGGGAGGGGTTGGTCCGTGTGACCTGTTGTAGTCACCACTTCTCCCTCCTACCCTTCTTTCCTTGGCAGCTGAGGGGCACTTTGCCGAATAGGGAGGTGCTGTCTCTGAAAAACTGCACACGGGAGGTAGCTTACCTGAGCCTGCTGCACTGGGATGACCCAGCTGGTCTCATCTTCTTGCCCGACATGCAAGGTAAATCCTGGTGGCTGCTGCTTGGCTTGGGCGCAAGGATGGACGTCCCTGGGGTACAGGTTGTTCCCCTCCCCTCCCCTTCCAGGAATTCATCCTCCTTGTCCATTCAGCCCAGAGCAACCTGAGTCCTGGGCTCTGCCCCTCCCTACCCTAAGACCCCTCCACGCTGTCTCAGAGGAGAATCTCCACGTTCTGTTGGTTCCAGGCTTTCTCTTCACACCACGGCCCATGCGGCTGTGCACACCAGCTTAGGGAGCGCAGCTGTACGAGATGCCCCGAGGTTCCAGAGGTGACTGCCCACCTCACTCCCGCGCGGGTCCCTTGGAGAAGGGAGCTGGCTGCAGTGAATCTCATTCTGTGTCTCTTGGGCCAGGATACCAGCCTCTCAAGGAGGCCTTGGAAGAAGGGAAGAAAGTGACTGGAGACTCCCTCTACGTGCGTGCCAATCTGACCCTCCCGGAGCAGTCCGACCCCTATGCCCTGTGCATCAAGTGTCGGGAGATCCTGTTCCTCAAGCCATTCCTGTGCCCCGGGCAGCAGGCGTGTGACGCATGCGCGGCTCTGCCCCTGGGTGCACGGCGCATGCACAGCCCCACCCCCCGGCGTGCTGTGCCCTTTAGAGCTGCCATCAGGTGCCCCCCATAGGTTGGCACCCCAGGCAGCTGTCCAGCTAGCCCCCCCCCTTAATCCGGCCCTGGCAGTGGCTGGGCTCTGAAGGAGACCCACCCAGAGAGGAGCAAGATGGCACCATGGGGGCACTGTGGGAAGCGGGCTGAGGGTGGCTCTGGATGGTGGGTGTGGTGCAAAGAGGCGTCTCTCTTGCTCTCTTCAGGAGGTGACTCCAGAGAGCGAGAAGGACATTAACCGCCTCTCCACCTTCCCCTTCCCCCCCTGCGCTGGCTCCATTCTCCGACGGCAGCGGGAAGAGGA